GATATAAGAAACAGTTTATATGTTAAGTTAAAAAACATTTTTTGGGGGCTGGCCCCCGGCGGGCCACACGGGAGTCACCCGCAGCCCACATTTGGCCCGCCGGCCTTGTGTTTGACAGGTGTTTTTAAAGCATCAACATGTTTTGTCCTCTCCTAATGTTCTTATTGTCTTTTGGATAGATTTGTGTTGTTTTTGTAACTTTCCTGTGTTGTTTTTGTAACTTTYCTGTGTTCTTCTGGCAGCATGTTGTTTACAGTGACAACTTCCAAATCCAAGTGTTGCAGATGGAGTCAGTCTCCCCTATTTACTGTAATTGTTGTTCACATTAAAATTTTCCCTCAGTTTTTGAGAAATAACAATTGAATGTTTGCACCAGGGAACAGCAGTTTAATTCAATRCCCCAAATAAAAGGCTTACATGTTCCACACTTCTCAGAGCCAATTGCTCAAATGGGGCTGGCAGCTTTTTATTTCTTTTTCCTTTTTTTTTGTGTGTGTATTTTCTCATTAAACAGAGTAAATCTTTTAGRAAACTAAATTGAATAACATCCAAAATTGCTTAATGTTTTGTGGCAGGTTTGAAGAAGCAACAAGCATGGATAAATGTCTTTAAAATAATAAGTACTCAAACATGCATATGTTACCCACTGAATTCTCTCAGGAAATGAAGCCGTGGCTGACAGAGCCGCCCAACGCTCGCATTACTGTGGTGACACCTCTCTTCCTCTTGTCACAATGACCTCAAGCAAGCAACCGACACATCACCTCACAGATGGATGTGTTTATACTGAAGCTGTGATTTGTTCCAGCATTCAGCTGAGATTAGACGACACCGCTTCCCGTTGCCATAATATTGAAGCTGCAGAATCAACACAGATGCTTGACCTGCTCGTGTGTGTGTGTGTGTGCRTGTCTGTCTGAGAGATGGATTCCTACATAGTCTATATTAGGAAATGATTGTTTCTACTAAAAAGAAACACATTTTTTTCCAATTTTTATTCATGATTAAGGATAGGTGCTAGTCAGTAGTATTGTAGTCACATTTAGTGCAAACAACTAAACATGAATTAAATTTATTGTTCAGAATAAAGGAAAACACAAGAATATTTCTTGTTTAGGGTCTTGTTAACCAGAGATGTCAGGAAAAAATAGCAACCCTGATCCATAAAGAGCCATCCTGAGGGATCAGGGACTTTAGGCCCAAACAAATTGTTGCCACTTATCTGTGGTACACACATTCTCTACWATACAACAGGGAACCATTAAGGACCTGGCTACATGTCCATCTTTATCCTACATGTGCAGAAATAAAGCCTTAAGGGTGGTTGTGAGCGAGGAGCCAGATGGGAGCATTTGGGTCACAAAACGGAGCAAAAACCAGGAAAATCTAGCGGATTAGACAGAAAATGAAGTATGTTTGTTTATTTTGACAGTAAATGTATTTCTACTTTGAGATAGTGACATTAACTGTACTAACTGTACAACAAGTAAAAATGTTCTCAGTAACTATGCATTACATATCTATGGTGACTGGACTGTATTATAAATATAAAGGACTTTAGGTATATCAGGTATACTGGCAATGTACCCAGTACGTAATAAGTACCTATTTGTTAATTAGCAGGTATAACCTCTGTATGTACCAGATAAGTATCTGGTCAGCATATTGTATAATGTATTTTACTCCTAAGTGTGTAATAATACTGTCTAATTTTGGTTTAGCATTTTTAATAATAGATTTAATAGGATTTTGAATTAACAGAAATTTGAACTTTTATTTTCCTCCCTGCTCAGGGTCATGATTCTCAGTAGTCTTTGGGCCAAATTCAGGGCATACCATCTACAAGTTACCAGTCCCTCCAACCTCCTTAGTGCCTTTTTTGTTGTTGAAATTTTACCATAATTGTCTATTTTTATGTAACACACATGGCTTCTTATACTGCTGTCAAATAAATTTTTGCCTCATCAAACTCTGAATCTCCTGGGCATCCCCCCGTCTTGTCTTGTTGTCCAATTTTAATCCAGTTGCTCTAACACACACTCATAAAACCAAAGCACATACACTTAGTATGAGTCATGCAGCCTCATTTTGACGTGGAGCCTGCTCTCCCTGGTAGTTCACTGTGAGAGATATTGAATTAGTCCAGATTGTTTGGAGCAATAAAGCTTTATTGCTTCTGCAGAGCAGGCGCTGGGCTTAAAACAGTTTCTGTGTGTCTGGCTGCTTTGTATCCAGATAACCATCTACTTCTGTAATTATACTCTTTCTGTTTTGATCCAGATCTCTGATCTTTAGTCTTATTTTGCTACTGTATAATTTAAGAGAAGAAAGGGTAAGTTCTCACAGCAGACTGATATCAAGTTTTTTGCTCTGAGCAGTCAGTGTTGGTGGTCCAGTGCTGCCAAATCTGTGTGCATCATCTTAAAGCATTTGTTGTCTTTTGGAGCAAAATACTCTTTTCAGTTTTTTTCTGATAATTCATTTGTCTGTGTTTATTGTCCAGCAACAATCATTTTGAATGAGCTAAATTGGACGGATGCATTGGAGGATGTTTTCCGGAAAAACAAAGCAGAAGATCCCTCGCTGCTGTGGCAGGTGTTTGGCTCTGCGACGGGTTTGGCTCGTTACTACCCAGGTAAGCAGCTCTGGCTCTGAAGAATGCAGTTGCAAACAGACTTTTCTGTATGCTGTAATAACGTTGGTTGAAGTGTTCATAACTCTCCTTATTTTTTTTTTTAGTTTAGAAAGAAATCTCAAATTTATTTGTTATTTAAACATTTTGCCATTTTCAGCATTCTTCAGATCTGTATTGAAACAAAAAACGTTGGTGTGCGTATATAAAGTTATACATAACTACAACCAAAACCCTCACAAAAATCAATTTTTTAAATGTAATTAAGCCCAACCTCTTAAGTTGAGTATGAGGAACTTTGTGAAATAAATGCTCTGCTTTGCCAAAATGCAGCATCCCCTTGGATCAACACAGGTGGTTCACCTAACAACATTGACCTCTATGATGTACGCAGACGACCTTGGTGAGTGCAGCTGCTAGCTGCTTAATGGAATGCACACGTTTCAGTTTAAGGAGTTAAGAGACTGTGATAGAAAAATATGAAAACGATGGTGCAGAAACTGGTTTTAACAAAGCCTTAAAKTGTGTTTATATTAAATGCCCTCAACTTGTGACTGTGTGTGTTCTTTCTCACTAGGTACATTCAGGGAGCAGCGTCACCCAAGGACATGCTGATCCTAGTGGATGCGTGAGTGACAGCCTTATGATTCATACATTACAGTCACATTTTATTTGCTTTTAGGTGCCAAGAGGCCCCGATGCTAACTCTGACTGGCCTCGTCCCGCTGGGCATGACTTCACTGTGCTCGTGTGACACGGAGTAACAMAAAGAGCAGTCAGTGCACTGAGAAACCTCATTATTTACAATTTGATGGTTTATTACTGTGATTTGTGCCTAAAATAGCTTGTTTAGAATTGTCGATTAGTTTATAGAGGAAGAACTGGCTCTCGGGTTTTAGAAGCCTGAGGCACGTGTTGGAAGTATTCAACAATTTATTTAAGCTCCATTAAGAAACCTTAAAATGTTAAAGATCTAGTCAAGGCCAGACTTCCAAATGAGTTAGCCACTCCACCATACTGGATAAGCAGTATGTACCAGTATAGATGATAAATGTTGATCAAAATTATGCTTCTAGACTGTTGTCAGGATTACATCTGGACTAAGATGTTCATGCTTCCAATTTATGTAAAGTAAAAATGCTGCTTATAAAGCAGAGTACATAATAAAATATGAGATAAACATGACTGCATCCCTCAATTAAAAGTTTTTGTATAAGTATCAGGAACACAAATTAGTTTTTGTGTAAATCAATTTTATTGTAAATTGGGATTTTGATTTAGAAAGCCATTGTTCTCAGGTGCTGATTACTGAATTCAGATACAAGAAGTGAAGTGAATTAATGAATTGTTGCTCATTGTGGCTTCAGATAAATCCCCCCCCCCCCCCAAGGATGGTATAAAGGAACAAATGCCAACATTTGAATAAAATGGATAATTTCACAGAGAACCAGAGTTTGCAGGATCAAACATTTTAAAAATGATGTCGTGAAATTTCAATGCACTATAATTGGTGACACTTAAAAGCTACTGGATAGCGAAAAAACTCCATAAACTTTGAGCCTTGATTGAGTCTTTTTCAAATTGTTTCATGAGAACATTTCAAGTTCATTTATTAATTTGTTTTTGGTAACTCTTTGACTCAGACTTACATTTCTGATTCATTCTCCCTGTGTGATACATACAGTGTGTTTCTCTTGGCTAATGGTTTTTTATGGTAAAACTTTGTCTTTTGACACTGCAGGAGTGGAAGTGTGTCCGGTCTCACCCTCAAACTCATCAAAACGTCTGTCAGTAAGATGCTGGAGACCCTCTCTGATGATGACTTTGTGAACGTGGTGTCTGTGAGTATTCAGAGCTGAGTGGGTTTGGCCTCTGATTATGCAAGTGCACGCCTTCTTAAGTCAGTTGGGGACATTTGTAACTCAATTTGTCAGTTATTTAAATACGTTAGAAACGTTTGAGCTTTTATTCTTGCGATCGCACGCGTTTCTGTATTTGTCGACTTTTGAATGTTTTTTAAGGGTGTTTGTTTGTTTCCTGCCTTGTTTGTATGGAATAAGAATGACCAGAATGTATAAAACAAATTAAAGCTTTGAAATGCTGCACATTATGAGTCTGTGGGATGTCATTAGAGATGCTTCACTTATGAGCTTCTGTGGAAATCTCAAATTTCAAAGTTTTCCTGGCATTAGGACATAAGAAATCTTCATCCATTATTTAAAGCTTTATCCCCTGCCATCTTAAATCTCCTCAGCTCCCCTGGCTTTATTATTTGTATAAAAAAGGTAGCAGAGTTTGAACGGGGAATCATTTCCTTCAAAGACATTTTAGAAGCAATCAAACTAAATGTGATTACCAGTGAAATCCATAAAACATCTCTAATCTGATGTTAGCTGTAAGTGGTCGTCTCTTTAGGTTTTTGCTATGCAAACCTTAAACTGCTTTTGTCAGTCACTTAGTAATTGTTGCTTATGGAGGCTAATATTTTTACAATCAAAAGGATTTTTTTATTAAATATATAGAGCAGAAGAAGGCTATTTTTAATGTACCACAAGAATAAATTTATTTAAATATATTTAAAGTCAGGTCTTAGAATTGGTTTAATTATAGGTGTCTATAAAGTCCCTTTTTGTTACTTAAATTTCATTTGTATTTAAAAACTTGCATTAATAATAATTGAAATTTGTCTCTAGTTTGGCTGTGCGCATAAATGACCACAGTAGGACTAACTTCCCAATAAAGCTGCTCTCACACAAAATGTATTTTATTAAATTTTTATTTGTCGATATCAGCATTTTTATGTTGCCTGGTATCATATGATACATGCTTTTTAATATCTGCAGCATTAAATTTAAAATCTTCCTTTCCAAGCATGAAGATGTCTGAGCTGTGCCGCAGCTGATCCCTGCATCAAACTCTGCTTCATAAAACTTCTTTGTAGACCGTTTAAAATGTGCTGACGGGCTGAGTGTGGCCCAGGAGCCACTGCTTTACAACAAACCAGCATCATTCCTGCACAAATTTAAGATTTAGAAAGAAGGACTCATCACTGTACAGTTCTTTCATTCTCTGATGCCTTGACTTTTCAGAATTATGTTTTGTATAGTGGTATTAATTTATATTTTCAGATCTTCCAAGGTGCCAATTATGGAACTCTCTGTGCATTGTTGCCCAAATCAAATTCTGGAAGTGGTCATTCAACTAGATCTGTTACAAAAGGACAACTGATATTACCAACTTTTAAAAACTGTTACGGCCAGAGGTCTTTCTTCTATGTTTATACTAAAGCATGGAATGACATTCCTCAAAACATAAAGTCCATTTCAAAACTACAGCTCTTTAAGAAGAATCTTGTCTGCCATCTGCTGGACACTTTTTGTTGTGCTCATATTTAGACGTCCTATTTTGCAAATGCTGTTTTCCTGAAATTTGGTATGCTTGTTTGTCTTTGTGTTTATGGTGTAATAATAATGATGTGATTGTGATGCTGTATTTCTGAGTGTTTTATGTGCTGCAGAACAGGAACCTGCTGTAAAACAGCAATTATGCTGAGTCAGGCTTGATTTTTAGTAAGCTTTTCCTGTTAAATCAATAAATCAAATTAAACGTATCTATCTTTATAATCATTTTTTTCTGTGTTACATGAAACATTACATTTATTTTATTTATTTACCGTTATTTAACCAGGCAAGTCCTGTTGAGATCTCAGATCTCTTTTTCAAGGGAGGCCTGGGTTTGAAGCCAACCTGTTGTATGTTTTTAAAAATGTTGCCTTTTTAGTCAGCAGGTGTTTAATTTGACTTTTTATGAAGAAAAGAGAAGGAAGTTATTTGACTATTTTACAGCGACAGGTTAAAGGGTCTATATGATGCAGAATAGTTGGCAGCCTGTAACAAATAGCTGTCTACTACATGATATGGGAGTGTAGTAATGTTTGAAAGGTTCTGTCCAAGTTATAGTACCCTAAGTTCATTTTTTGCTTTGCTCTAACAAACAGCTGGTTTGTCTTTGCAGCCTAATGTCCTCCTCCAGATACTTGGCTCAGGATTTATCATGTACTTAAATCTGACTTTGCTTTGTTAAAAATCTCCTTTATCCTATTTGCTTCTACTTCGTCCTCCCTCTTTCTCTCTCTTGATGGAARGAACATAAATGAATTTCCTTTCTTAATGAAATTAACCAGTCACTGTGGATGATTTATAGTTGAAGTTACAGTACCTTACTGTAAAATGTTTGAATAAGGAACTGATACAAATAAAGTGAAATTAATGCCAAAACCAAAATATATGTACTGTATAATGCAACAATACATTTCCTATTTGATACATGAATGTTTTCATTCATGTGTAGCTGATGTTTTCTTTAAGGATCATGTTATTTGTTCCTAGAATACAATAAAAACAATTAAAAGCTTAAATTTAGTTAGTAATTTAGTAGTTTAGTAATCCCTAGCACTGAAGGCAAAGGTGCCAATTGTGCTTTTATCTGTCTGTTACCAACATWCAGTATATTCTGAACCACAAAACAAATTTTAATGTGGTAGTAGCTGAGAGTCATTCATAATAAATATTTCTGAGGGTGACTCTCAGGACAAAATCACATGTAGAGTTTTTAGGATTTAACTGAAACAGCTACAACTTTGTTACTTCTCAACACAGGATGACCTTAACTCAAAATTATGGCATGAAAAGTGGCGGGTGATATGCATTCCTTTAAGGAATGCTAGGCCTTTAAATAACATTTTTTGATTACATATCTGTAATTTATATGCCATTAATAATGTTTTTATTGTAGCAAGGTTTTAAGTTTTAGGCCTGTTTCTTCTCAAGTTTCTGATGCTGATGCACAGCAGCAGTATTTTGCACCTCTTGTGTKTTTTGCTCGTTTTTATGATGGTGTGTGTTTTGAGCCTGATCATTATTGAGAGGGAGTGTAATCCAGGCCAAGACAGATGTTTGGTATTAATGAGCCAGGTCCCAACCCTTTGTAGCTGTTGTGTGTAAAATTATACGTGTGCGCGTGCACAAACTGACTGTGTTCCATCTGTTTTCTTACGTTAACCACACACCAGCGTTGATTTGAAGCTAATCTACATGTAAAGTTGTGAAAATGTGATCTAACTTCTGCTTCTACACTAAAACCCTTCCATAATTAAGCTTTCTACATGTTTTTTTCTTTTTTCACCTCCTTGTGCTGCTGTTTTCACATCCTTTCCTGCTCTCCTTCGACTCTTTCCTTCTGTTCCAACAGCTCCCTTCGGTCTGTGCAGAATAAAACCTTTTTTTCATTTTATGTATTTGTCACAGTACAACCTCTATTTTGAAAAATAGGGATTTTGAAAAAAATATTTTTTTACAGTGGAACATAATGAATATATAAATTGTTTAAACTAAGAAATTGTTGTAAAAGAGGTGCTGAACTGATCTGATCTGTCCAGATCTCTCACCAACTGAAAGTTGAAATTCTTAGGTTAAATATTTGACATATTTTCTATGTTCTGCTTTGAATCAAACATGAGCATAAGAGAGTTGCAAATCATTTGCATTCTGTTGTTTTACCTTTTACAACAAATCCCAACTTTTTTAAATTGAGGTTGCATTTGTTTTAACACATTTTGCTTTTATAATTTGTGTTTTAAGAGTACTTGAATCTACTACCTCACTTGACACCGCATTACTCTGCAACGAAGGGATTAAAAAAAGGCCACATATTTAATAGGAAATATGTGCAAGTGTCTTCCCTCCACTTCCCATGAACCCTCCTTACCTTATCCCCCCAGTTCAACAAAAGTGCCAGACCTGCAGCGTGCTTTCAGAACCTGGTGCAGGCCAATGTGAGGAACAAGAGGATCCTAAAGGAGGCTGTGCAGAGCCTCAAAGCTGAGGGGATCACCAACTACACAAGTGGCTTTGAGCTGGCCTTCGAACAGCTTAACCAGGTGGGTATGGGCATGATTATTGCAACACTTTTGAGGGATCTGATTTTTAAATTATCTGTATATAAAGGTTTGTAAAGTTAAAGTTAATTTAATCTTGAAAAATAATAATACATCATCAGTTTTACAACTTTGTCTTTGAAATCCTTCCCTGAAAACTGAGTATTTGTTGACCTCTTCAGGTTGTTTCTGTCGTTGCACTTTCATTATCTGTATCTACAAAAGTTCACAATTTACTTCTCACTCGAAAGCTGTGATTTTAAACAGCTCCTGCACTTTATTTCAATTCAAGTAAAATATATTTTTCCTCTGTTTCAACCAGACGAATGTGTCGAGAGCCAACTGCAACAAGATGATAATGCTGTTCACTGATGGAGGAGAGGAGAGGGCRGAGGAGATCTTTGTAAAATACAACCCAAAGCAAAAAGTAAGATTGTTCAAAATCCATTACAGCTATAGTATTACTTGTATAGTATAACCTTGTTTGGCTTTTAGACATTAAAAAAAGCTCATGAACCCCTTAACAGATTTTTATAGTTATGTCAGAAAGTAATCATTAAATGTGCATGTGTAGCTGATTAACTTTTGGAGTCAGTCTAAGAGAAGATGGTCACCACAGATAATCAAATTTAGAAAATTCAAAAAATGGCTACAACTCAAGCAATTTAACAGAAATTAAACTCTTATTTTCTGTGGTGGTAGATGGTTCTTTTACAACATGCTGGCTGTGACGTTCCACAACATGGCACAAGTTTAATTTTAAAGTTTGGCTGAAGGAGCTGTAAATTAATCTTTTCTCTTAAGATGATTTTAGTCTAAATCTCTGTTCTAAAAAAATAAGATGATAAGCATTCCTTAAGTTTTTAATATTTATGGTCATGATAAATTAGTCCTAATTCCATTTGCTCACAGGTGCGCATCTTTACCTTTTCCGTTGGTCAACACAGCTACGACAAAGGGCCGATACAGTGGATGGCTTGTGCTAATAAAGGTACAAATTTAAATAAAACTTGTAGTGACTGAAAATGTAAACATTTTACGACATGAATAAATATTTAGGATTTTATGAAGAAAAAATCAAATATTATAACTCATAGTTTGTTAAGCCTATACGAACAAAAACCATTAAATGCTGTAAAATAATTAAAGATCAACATAAATTAAACTTTGTGTCATTAGTAGAAGTTGTGTTTTCAGAGCTCCTGTTATAACAAACATCTTCTTTTACCTCAGGGTATTATTACGAGATCCCATCTATAGGGGCCATTCGAATAAACACTCAGGTAAACAAACCATCAGTTTGGAAAAACATATTTCCATTTAGATTTTTAGCTTCCTAATTACTTGTGTCTTGCGCCCTCTTGTGGCCAAATGTTAGGATCAAATCTGCCTCTTTCTTTTTCAGGAGTATTTGGATGTTTTGGGTCGGCCGATGGTCAAAGCAGACCGAAGGGCCAAGCAAGTTCAATGGACAAACGTCTACATGGACGCACTGGTATGTTAGATACTCTAACATACGTTACATGATTTTCCATTATTTGAATAAAAACAGAAAGATGACAACACAGTTACTGGAAGTGGAAAAGATCTGTTTTGTGTCRTCTGAAAATTTTTTAGACAAGTCTTAGTTTTTTATTAAAAATTGGCAGCTGTGTTGTCCTGCTTGGCTGTGTTGTGTTCCATTCTGTGTAAAAAAGAGATAAAGTTTGATTCTGTTTATCTTTCTGTCAGGATTTATTCCCATGCAATGAAATGGGACTGATAAAGGAAGTTTGGATATTATCAGACACTGTCAACTTTTGAAACAGTTTTAAAATTGTTAGCCCTGAAATTATTATTTTTTTGCCCTTTTTTGGTCTTATAATGTTGACCTCAAYACAAGCCATTAACTTGACAAGTATTTGCCTGACACTCTTGTCTTTGTATGTGTCTGTGCTTATTTGATAGCAAAATATTTCTTAAAACAGGACAGATTTGAATGAAACTCTAACAAGTTAATCAGTTGATCATTTACAACTGATTACAGTTTGGAGTCGATCCAGTTCAAGATGGTTGCCATAGATAAATACACAAGTTRAAATTTGTGTRGTAGTAGCTGATGGTTATTCTCAATGGGCACCTTGARCACTAACTGGTCTTCTGAGATCTTGTTGTCTTGTCTCACATCAGATTGCAAAAATACTTAATTCTTTATCAATTTAAAATTGTCTTTGTCTAAAGCTGTAGCATTATAACTTTTAATTGGTAATGTTTTTTATTAATGTCTTTTTATTGAACAGATGAATTGTACAGAATGAAATGTATATATTATAAATTAATATAACGTGTATTTCATCTTTCAGAAACTTGGTCTTGTGATCACCGGAACGATGCCTGTTTTCAACAAAACTAGTACGGGCCCAAAGGTACAGTGTCTGCATCTTTAATTTATTATTTGATCAAGTTTTATTATYACCATGTGTCAACACAATGAAGGAAATTCTGTAACTGATTAATTRAATATAAGATGCAGTATTATATTTTATATTTTCTGATGGTGTTAGCCTTAAAGTTAAAGCAGACAAAGAGTTGGTGTGTCTTATCATGTATTCTTTCTTTAGTCTAATCAAAAATGACGTTCTGACATCTGACATAAAAGGTAACACCTCCAGAGGTGTAACCAGGAAGAGATGAACATTATAAGCTCAATTCATTATTATAGTAAAAAGAAGTTGTCAGTGTGTTGCAGAGTCTCTGCTCAGAGCAGAGCTGCTCTGTTTTGGTTGGGTTTTTATCTCAAGGTCTTACACTGAGGCCTGCTGAGTGCTGTACCTGACGAGTCAGAAGATTGAGAATAAAGTTTTTAAGAAGAAATCCAGTAGATTCCTGTTTATTCAGACATACCGTTTTGAACAACGCATATTTTTCCTACAACAAGTTTTGTAAATTTTGTTGAAATAGGTTATAAATGAAAACACACAACTTGGTTATAATGCTGAAGTTGTATTTAAACACTAATATTTCTATGATTTTACTGCTATAACACATTTACTTTTAATATTTACAAATCACTTTATTATTTCAATGTGTTTATTTTTATTTTTTAATTTATTTTATTTTATTTTTTCTACATTTTGTCTTCTGTTTGATGTATGAACCTTTTGACCTGTGGTTTAGGAACATGCCAAAATGCTTACCAGATCAAAAAACAAAGAATTWAAAAAAAAAACAAATAAACTATTCAGCATGAATATTCTTTAGTGTTGTCTCACCCATTGYTTTCATCTTGTCCTTTCTTGTGGCTTTAGGCTACATCCTCTGTTGATGCAGAGGTTCCTCAAAACTCCCCACAAATAGAGAATCAGCTCAGTCCTGTTGATCAGAGTGGGGGGGGACTCGGTAGCTAAATGCTTCAAGATGAGTTCACATGTCCACCTTGAAGGACTCTGAGCTACCTCCAGGGTGACTGAGAGCAAAGCCTGGAAATGCCTCGTCGGTGACTCATTGCAGCACGTGAAGCTTTTGGGAATGAAACTGTCCAGATTTCTATTGCAACCACTTGCCTGAAATCAGTCAGAATGCACAGAGGGACTTGACTCATCCAGGAAGAGCAGTAGAAGAGTTACTCGTTGTGCAGCTGACATTCTCCTCTGTTTTTCCAACGCCTTTTATTTCTCACAGAAGTCTCAAAACCAGCTTATCTTGGGAGTTATGGCCATTGATGTCTCCCTGGAAGACATCAAGAGACTGACTCCTCGGTTTACAGTAAGAGCACAGAAAAACAACACAAAACAATTGTTTGCATCTGAGCTTTCTATTCCTCTCTCAAGTAAATATGCTCYATATTTTTCCTTAACATTCTTTAGTTTGGACCAAATGGCTATTACTTTGCTATTGATCCAAATGGATATGTGCTGCTCCATCCTAATCTTCAGCCACCGGTAAGCACAATTACACAACATTAATCAGGATTATTATTATTATATTTTTTCACAGGATGTGTGATTTTGATCACCTTAAACACCTTAAAAATATACAAAACACCAAATATGTTCAGTGTGTTACACTAGCAGTAGGGCTGTGTATTGGCAAGAATTTGGCGATACGATACATATCATGACAGAGGGGTCACGATACGATATATCCCGATATATTGCGATACTATAAGC